AGTGATCATCTAAGAGGTTGTGGAATGGTTCGTTCCATGATGAGTCTCGTTGAACTACCAATCTCTTTCTGGGGTTATGCTCTTGAAACCGCTGCATTCATACTCAATAGGGCTCCAACAAAGGCTACAGAAAGGACACCATATGAGATATGGACAGGAAAAGTTCCCAGTCTAACCTTTGTGAAGATTTGGGGGTGTCAAGTTTATGTAAAACGTTTACTTTCAAATAAGCTTGAACCCAAATCAGATAAGTGTTTATTTGTGGGTTATCCTAAGGAAACAAAAGGATATTACTTTTACAACCCATCAGAGAACAAAATGTTTGTTGCTCGTAATGGTATTTTCTTAGAAAGAGAATTTCTTTCTGAAAGAACCAGTGGGAGTAAAATACAGCTTGAAGAAATTCAAGAAGTTCTAGATAGTCAGACTATGCAAGCAGTCCCACAATCTCAGCCACAAGTTGTTTTGGATACACCTGAGGCAGCACTCGCTCCAATGAGGTCATCTAGGGTACATAACGAGCTAGTTAGATACATGTTTATCTTAACTGAGCATCGTGACGTATTATTAATAGACGAAGATGAACCTTTGACCTACCAAGAAGCAATATCGAGCCCTCACTCCGATAAATGGCTAGAAGCCATGAAATCCGAAATGAGATCCATGGTCGACAATCAAGTCTGGGACTTAGTTGATCTACCTGATGGTTGTAGAACCATTGGGTGCAAATGGATCTACAAAAAGAAATTAGACAAAGATGACAATGTAGATGTCTATAAAGCACGTTTAGTGGCGAAAGGTTACAAACAAATTCATGGTATAGACTATGATGAAACATTCTCGCCAGTTGCCATGCTTAAATCAATTCGGATTCTCTTAGCAATTGCCGCTCATTTTGATTATGAGATTTGGCAAATGGATGTCAAAACTGCTTTCCTAAATGGAAATCTAGACGAGGACGTGTATATGATACAACCTGAGGGTTTTGAACATCCAATCAATGCTGGGAAGGTATGCAAGCTCAAAAGATCAATATATGGTCTGAAGCAAGCATCTCGGAGTTGGAATCTTCGTTTTGATGTTGCAATCAAAGAGTTTGGTTTCAATCAAAACGAAGAGGAACCTTGTGTTTACAAGAAATTGAGTGGAAGTGCAATCACTTTCCTAGTCCTATATGTAGATGACATACTTCTCATTGGGAATGATGTTCCGATGCTTTCGTCTGTAAAGGTTTGGCTTGGAAAGTGTTTCTCAATGAAAGACTTGGGTGATGCATCCTATGTGTTAGGGATCAAGATCTATAGAGATAGATCTAGAAAGCTCATAGGACTAAGTCAAAGTAACTACATTGACAAGGTCCTACATAGGTTCAATATGCAAGATTCCAAGAGAGGGTTCTTGCTTATGCCACATGGCACACATCTCAGCAAGACTCAGTGTCCACATGGTACTATATAGGTTCTGTCATGTATGCTATGTTATGTACTCGCCCTGATGTAGCTTGCGCTCTAAGCATGACTAGTAGATACCAGTCAGATCCAGGTGATAGTCACTGGATAGCGGTCAAGAATATTCTAAAGTACTTGAGAAGAACTAAGGATGTATTCTTGGTCTATGGCGGTGAAGATCAGCTCATTGTAAATGGTTACACAGATGCTGGGTTCCAATCCGATAAGGATGATTTTAGATCGCAGTCAGGATTTGTGTTTAGCCTTAATGGTGGAGCAGTGAGCTGGAAGAGTTCTAAACAAGACACGATGGCTGATTCTACAACAGAAGCTGAGTACATTGCTGCTCCAGAAGCAACAAAAGAAGCAGTATGGATAAGGAAATTCATTATTGAGCTCGATGTCGTTCCTAATATTGTTGGACCAATGGACTTATATTGTGATAACAATGGAGCCATTGCACAAGCCAAGGAACCTAGATCACATCAGAAATCAAAGCATGTACTCAGGCGATATCATCTCATTCGAGAGATAGTCAATAGAGGTGACGTCAAGATATGCAAAGTACCAACATATGCAAATGTGGCTGATCCGCTCACCAAGCCACTACCACAAGCAAAGCATGAACGTCATACTAGTGCATTAGGCATTCGTTTTGTTCACGATTGGTCCTAGTGCAAGTGGGAGACTGTTGGAAGTATGCCCTAGGACAATCATACTTTATGATTTATCAATGAATATTTAATGCTCATTAATTAATAAAGTCACAAACTCAGTTTATGTTAATTATTATTGTGAGTTTTCTTTATTAATATTTAGTCCCTGAATATTATGTTTAGTAGCTAATTAAGTACATGACTTAATTTCGGAATGCTACACTTTAAAATAAGCATAATATTCTAATTATCCATGGTCTAATATTATTAATCTGGGACATTAATAATTAATAGACCATTATGTGGATTAACTGATGGCTATATTCCACTAGTCATGGGTATAGAGATATCAAGTTAATAACATAGATGCTTGTTAGTGAACAAGTTCATTGGACAGACCCAACTTGAGGACACTGCTAGGTTATATGTCATCAGTGTTGTCCTCAATAATGATGAGGTACTATATTCTTATACTTGAGATAATCATGGTTACTTGCATGCGAATTAATATGTATTAACACCATTAAATATTATTTTTAAATGGGTAATTATAAAGGTGATGATTGTACATATTATGAACCATGTAGTGGTATGTGAATTATCAAGATAGTTTTTGTCACTCTCGTATAGCGAGAGAAAGATATCTATTGGGCCCCTTGACAAGTAAGATTAATTAGCATGGCCATGCTCAAATGAGGTGTCATTTGTTCAAAATTAATCTTACTTGGTAATCAAGAAATATTAATTGAGAATAACAAGGATGACATGACCTAACCTTGTCTCAATTAAGATATCGTTTGACAAAAGAGAATTATTAGCACAAATTAATCATTAAAAGGTTATGTCAGATTTAATTGACATTTATATATTTTGGATAGTCATAATGACTTGCTAGAGGGCGCTTATGATTTGTGAAACTTGAATTAATTTTTTAGCCCACTGCCAATAATATATAAACTTACAGGGTCACACACCTAAGTGATTTGGATCATTAATGTTCGTTAATAACATTAAAATAACCTGATTAGCCCAATTCAAAATAGGGTTTCGAATGGTATTGGGCTAGGGCCTCTTGGAGGGTTTTATTAGCTATAAAACTCCTTCTTTCCTCCTCTTATAAATAGGGCTATATAGACCCACGAATTTTAAGAGTTAAAATTCATTTCTAAAACCTAGAGTAGAGAGGAAGAAAGAAGAGAACGCTAGCACGTTCCATGCGGCCGATCCAATCACGTGCGTGTGGATACCGGTAGAGCTCGGGATCGTTTTCTCGGACTGTCTGACATCCTTGATTAAGATTGCTATGTAAGTCCCTCTTATATCTTGTAATTTCGGTTATAGTAAGAAACTCATATCCGTTTGTTTACTTTTGGGCAGTATTTTTTTGTTTATTCCGCTGCGTTTTTCTGCCCGAAACCCAACACACGAAACTACAGTTGGTTATCTGATAAGCTATTTTATTTGTACCCTTAGCTAGAGTTCGGTCCTTTGAGTAAATGCTTAAATGCAAGATTACATGAACACGTTGAAAATTAGATTACTGGAAGTTACTTTTAAAAGAGACAAGACGACAATTTCCTCATAGGATATATGACTTCCGTTATACAGCTATTTATATGTGGAATTATTTTTCCACCACACTATAAGTACATGAACAAGCTAAGAAATATCTCGTATTAAAAATGAGATCAAAGTAAAATTGATGCAAAGCTGTTGTTTGAACTTCAATAAATATGTGTTATTTATTTACTAGTGTCCGTACCTGTGCGTCGCACGGTAATTTTATTTGCTTGTAAGCGTGTTGAAAATCAGTTGGTTAAAAAAAAAGGAAATCGGTTGGATGTATAATGTAAAGGATTTTTGGTACTACTGAAATCGGATAATCGTTTGAATTGGTTGGAACTTTTGTAGCGTGGAAAGTTATACTTCACACTACACATTAAAATGTAATTTATCAATGAAATAAAGAAAACATTATGAAAACTAGTTAAAAAGAGTCTATAAAATCACTCTATCTAATTCATGTAAAAAGATATCTTCAACCTTATTTTGTTATTATTACATATTTTTACACGTGAAATTGAAAGTCATATACTTCGTATTTGATAAAATAATCGGTTGATAAAACTCATATATGTTCTGCTTAAGTGCGATCAAATGTGATGTTATGATATGGGTGGATGAATTTGTTTTAGAATGTAAATGTGTAATTTAATTTTCTTTGCTTAAGCGTGATCATATATGATTAATTTAAATTTTGTTTTATGTGGTCTGATAGTTCGATATACGAAGTACTACCTCCGTCCCATTAGAAGGTTCTCGTCCACTATTCACATGGTCTGATCGGGTAGTTTCTAAATATGTAAATTTTATTTACTAAAAATAATCAGTGTGAACGGGGATTAAGTTGCTTCATCGTCAGTCAAGCATCGTAAACCGTCAACGGGAACCTTCTAGCGGGACGGAGGGAGTATGTGTATATAAGACGGATGCTGCAAATGTCACTAACATAATGGGTGGAGGACGAAAAATGACACAAATTCAGCCTCATACCCGATCAGACCTGATCAGATCAGACCAAACTAGATCAGAGTTAAAACAGACCAGACACATACATGATTTGTGTGCCGCTCCCTCTTGGCTCTTGTCCCATTGTTAACGTGAAAGAGAGAGTATGTAAAAATAGCCAAAATGATCATCTACAGTAACTTCAGTCAATAGAGCCAGAAAAATAACTTCAACGTTACTTTTTCTGCTTATTACACGATTCAACGCGTGAAAGAAAAAATTACGTGTTTGTGAAAAAGTTGACTGATAAACCTGAAAAGTCGAAAAAGAACGTTTGGGAAAGGGCCTCTTAATCAGCTGCCACCCGCACTCTATGGCTTCGCCAGCCCTTCGCACCAACGGCTTAGAATTCAAAATTTGAATATTCGTGAAGATCACGTGATATTACGTGTTGGGTAGATCTGTACTCGAAGCGTATAACCTTTGATCCGACGGCCCAGAATATCGCGTCAGGCCTAAGCTACATACAGCTTTGTTCTTAGGTTTTCCGGAATACCCTCTCCACTCCGTATATAAAGTCTCCTAAATCTTCGAAATCTCTCTAGAACTATCACTCCGCATTCGCTGATTCCTCCTGATCACTACCGTCTCTTCTCTAAACCGCGACGCCATGGTTAGTATTATTCTCCGATTCTTTTACATTTCACCGAGCATCTGGTCGTAGATGATTAGTTTTAATTCTTCGGTTTTATGGCTTTGTTTGGCTATAATTTTATTTTCCTGTAATTTTGTTAGGCACTTCCAAATCAGCAGACAGTTGATTACCCGAGCTTTAAGCTTGTAATTGTCGGCGATGGTGGTACCGGTGAGTTTGACTACATTATACTCTGTATAATGATGAATCCTTGAGCGTTTTCTAGTACAATCTTCCGATTTACGATTTATTTCATTTCCTCGTTAGATTTAGATTGATTGATTATATTATTACTCCCCGCTTTACATGGAAAAATAGCTAACCTAATCGAGCATTTTTTTTCGAACTCCACGTCATTTTGCAATTTTGAGCATTTTCTCGTCCAGTTTTTTGTTGCGACTTTTGTTTGATCTCTGATATGTCCCAAGATCCTTTCAAGTTTTTTCTCTCATTTTTGAAAATATTTGCCTATATTTGGATCTGTTGATACGCTGACTCTGGAGCATATTTTTTTATATCAAATACAATAGTTAGGTGCATTCAGAATTCCTATCATCATGGCCTTATATGTTGATCACATATATGCGACTCTATTGTATTTATAGGCAAAACAACTTTTGTCAAGAGGCACCTTACTGGTGAATTTGAGAAGAAGTATGAACGTAAGTTATCAAAATTTCTTCTGTTGGCTGTCAATACTTTATTAAGTTTTTTGTTACTTTTATGAGCAACGCATGTAATACACTCTTTTGTCCCTGCAGCCACTATTGGTGTGGAGGTTCATCCATTGGACTTCTCCACAAACCTTGGGAAAATTCGGTTTTACTGCTGGGATACTGCAGGCCAGGAAAAGTTTGGAGGTCTTAGGGATGGTTATTAGTAAGTGATCAATTTAGTTACTTACCAGGAAAAGTTTGGAGGTCTTAGGGATAGTTATCAATTTACTTACTGATGGTTTTAATTATTATAAATTATAATTCAAAGCCATATGTTTAATTGGAAAATACGTGTAGGTGTACAATACAAATACATGAGGGCAGATAATTTGCGCTAGTTTTATATTTGAACTTATATCCAAAGCTCATGCTACCTCAGCTTTTGACGTTACATTATATTTCCAACACGACTGAGTTTATTTTGTTCTAATCAGAATTTTGCAGAGTGAAATGTTGAAGGGGCACTTAAGCTTGCACTGTCCCATTTTAGCATTGAAGAGTATACTAATTTTAGATTTACTAAACCCTCGGGATGAGAAGTGATACATGAAATCCTCAATGTACTAACTAGTAATTCCCCAAGTTAGAGACACATTTGTTAGAATTTAAGTGGTCTGTTTGTGATTTGAAACCCCATCTACCTTCCACTCCCCTCTAAAACCCAACTCCCAAACACACCCCAAGTTAGAGGCACATCTATTAGAATATAAGTGAGGCTATGATAGCTGTTCAATTAAGTGATCTGTTTCTGATTGATTCATGTTAGTTGATCCTGAAATCTTTTTGGAGTAAGGCTGGGTTGCTGTTGTTTTTAATCCTAATTACATAAATTTAAATTTAACAAACAATCGAGAAATTTACTCTAGTTGGAAAAGACTCAAACTATTATTCAATCTAAATGATTGGCAGAACACAGCCCATTTTTAGAACCGGTTTGATGTGTTTCTAATAAAAAGCTGTGATGTTTTCAAAAAGAAAAGTGAAAATCTCCTTGTCTAATTTCTCTTTGTAATTGCCTTCCACCTCAGTACCTTTTAATTGAAAGCAAATGTCTAATTTCATGTCAGTGGTTGTCACCTGAGATGAGTCTTTTAGAATTTATTAACATATGAGGTTGATGTCTTTTGCAGCATCCATGGACAGTGTGCTATTATAATGTTTGATGTTACTGCTAGATTAACGTACAAGAATGTGCCTACATGGCACCGTGATCTATGCCGGTAATCTTCAAACCTTACTGTGTATTTGAATAAATTGTCTGTTTCTGTTTCTAATGTTTTGCATTCCTTTTACAAGGGTGTGTGAGAATATTCCAATTGTCCTCTGTGGAAACAAGGTTGATGTCAAGAACAGGCAAGTGAAAGCAAAGCAGGTTACTTTCCACAGGAAGAAGAATTTGCAGTACTATGAAATCTCTGCAAAGAGTAATTATAACTTTGAGAAGCCTTTCCTCTATCTTGCTCGGAAACTTGCTGGGTATAGCTCTCTAACTCTTCACATTAGTTGCAGATTTTGTGGCACGTTTTCAAATTGTGTTTCAGTATAATGAAAGTATCCTGAATGGGTGTATGACCTTTTGGAAAATGTTTTTGCAAAATGTTCGAAAAACTTGTTTGAAAAATAATCTTTCTTTTTATTTTTGCAAAAAATCATTGGAATAATTGATAAAATATCTACAATTTGAGGATAAGATGTATCTAAAAGTCTTTAAAATGATGTCATCACACTCTTAATGTGATGAAAGTGGACATATTAATGCTATCAACATCATTTTTTTGAATAAGTTGCTGATAGTATATGAAGTATTATTTGCCTCTTTTATGGTGTGCTAAATTGCCATGCTTAAACTATTAGGGAACCAAACCTGCAATTTGTTGAAGCTGTTGCCCTTGCTCCTCCTGAAGTCCAGATTGATATGGAGGCTCAAAAAAGGCAGGCTATCATAAGTCCTCCCTCTCATATGTGGTGTTGTTTTTATTTTCATTGCATCACCTTTTTATTTTGGATACTATATTCCTATTTTTCAGGCAAGAGGAAGAACTTCTAAATGCTGCAGCACAGCCACTCCCTGATGATGATGATGATGCCTTTGAGTGATTTGCTTTCATCCAATGAGTCGTTTCTGTGGGGTTGGTGTAGCAAGCTCCGGCAAAAGTACTTTTGGTGAGGAATACGGATGATGTGTGATGAGGTTTCAAACTGGTTTTTGGCTCATTTAATATTATTATATGTGGGAAGGAAGTACATGAAACTTATATTCATGTCCTTCCTAATTAGTGTGGATCTGTGTATGATTTTGGATATACTCTGAAATATCTTGCAAGGATTTATGTTGAGCAATTCTCGATTTGGGATTTTCTGAAGGCTGATTTTATCTGAGCCCATTCCTTAAATTATCAAACCATTTGCATGAATTCTGACCGTTTGCATGAATTCTGACCGGGATGTTCTAACTATATAAATGTCCAAACCGTTGGAAGTTTTTCAAGTGGAAAAATATATCGTGTGAGATATAAAACGCTGATATCGGGCTCCATGCAGTGGCAAATTCTTCGCCAGGCTGAAAAGTAGAGCAAGTGAAAAAACTTAGATTTACTAAACACTCGGGATGAGAAGCGATACTTGAAATCCTATGATATACTCTGTAGTAATTAACGCAACTCCAAGTAAGAGGAAGATGTGTTAGAATTTAAGTGATCTGTTTGTGATTTGAAACCCCATCAACCTTCCACCCCCCTTCAAAATCCATCTCCCTTCCAAACCCCAACTCCCAAACACACTTGCACACCCTAATTTTTGAGGCACATTTGACTCCATTGGCTAGAGTCAAACTGCAAATCACTTGGACTAGAGGCTATGATAGCCGCTGTTCAATTAAATGATATTCTCATCCTCTTTAAAAGTTTTCATGCTTCAAGTTTCGTCTTATTGTTTACATCTTAATGGGTTTATCTAGCGTTCTTTTTCAGTTACAACTTTTCTAATTGTATTTCATTATGTATTAATATAAACATTATAAAAGTGAGAAAAATTTAATGGGTATTTAAGGCGTTTGAGTAGTGTTAAAGAAGGGAGGAAATGCGTTACTCCGTATTCAAAGTGTTGCAGACTTGCAGAGTTATATTTTTCGGAAATCAAGAAACAACAACGAATCCCATTGTGATCATCATATGCCGAGTCTCGTTAATCCCTTTGCTTGTGCAGTTGTGCCTGATCCAGTTTTTCTTTGGTTAAATCACCCAGTCTTCTTTAATACTTGCGCTGCATTGCATACCGATGCTAATCTTATACAGGGTACTACTTATAATGAAACCACAAATTATATCCTGGGATAGGCCTGCCGTGTGCATGGTGTGCCAATCCCAAAACCGCATCACTTTATTGATTAAAAACAAGAGCCGCTTCATCAATCGACCGATCAGAGCAAAATAAAAACATACATTAATATGCCGATCTTCAGCACGAAGATCGGCATGGGAGCCACTTCCATGTTGTGGATCAATGCTTTCACATGGCTGCACCAAACTGAAACCCACCTTCCGTAACCTCTTTCCTGACAAACTCCATTAATTCAGCCAAAGCATCTTGAATTTCCATCATTTTCAAACATAGCATTACTTTTTTTTACAACAATGAAAGCAAAATATAACAAAACTCAGCGGCAGAAAGAGCTTATAGATAGAGTAAACGCCTCATGCAGTCTACCAGATAGATCATTATTAACCAGATATATCATTATTAACAACTTTAACAACATTTTTGTAATTCTGATTTTTTGCCGGAAGTTACATGTTTGTAAAAGCATTTTAACGGGCTAAATTTACATTTCCCAGGTTACATTTCAATTTAAGTAATTTACCCTTTGAGTCAGCAAGTTACATTTGAGTGAGTGTAATTTACATTTTGATTAACCCGGAGTTATAAGTGGATTCACACGATTTACATTTCATCTAACCTTGGGAGCAAGATGCTCACCGTGCACCGCTCGCATGGTATAACAACTGAAATGAAACATATTGACGTGGGCTATGATTTTGTCTGAGAGAGCAGGGGCGTAACCAAGGGGGTCAAGGTAGTTTGTTGACCCCCACTCCCCCCGAAAGTTTGAGAGTATAGAGATCTGAAATATTTCTGATTTGATATATTATGACTCTCTAATTCATTACAAGTAAAATGTTATGACTTTAGAAAACATTCAGCACTAAGTTTAATTATTAGTAAAATTTGATGCGTAATATTGATTATATTTTCAAATTTAACACATAGTTCATTCATTACTTCCACGACATACTCAGGGACGTAGCAAAGACCGCCTATCTCACATTTATGAGTGTCTCGTCAATAGTCGATTCTTTTCTAGTAAGAAATCCTGACGTTAAATGATGTGAAAGAAGTATAAAATTCCGGAGTAAGGCAAAAAGACTCATCTGAGGCCGACATCCGTGCGAAAAACTGTCGATTAAACTACTATAAAACAAATTTATAATATATATGACATATATTATATATATAACTCTATTAGTCTCATTTAAACTATTATTTGTCAAAACTGCTTTCAATTCGAGTATTGTCTAAAAATGACCTGCCATTCTGTTATGTATAAAGTTAAATTTTCGACCTTCCCAAGTCGTTTTTCTGGCTCCGCCCTTGCGGGAGTGTATGCAAAATAAATCAATTTGGGTCATTCATGTTAGCTTCCAATGGGGGGTTTCTTATTTTATGGGAGAAGTCAACATGGAGTGCAAAGTAACGGAAAGAGACATCGCATTGGCTCGATAGGGTGGCTTTCGGGGCATGAGGTGCGTCCAAAGTCATCAAGGGATGCTTCGCCAAGGCAAAGGCATGTTGCGGCATTGCTTTTCTAGGAACGGGAAAGGTGAAAGTTTGGCTAAGGCATCGAGACTTAGTCAAGACAAGGCAAGCTAGACCAATTATGTGGGCAGAACGGTTGACATTGAGAGAAATCATGTTCCATTCATGGACGACATGACATTGTCAAGGTGGGCTATGGGTGTGTTGGTCTGGCATGTGGTCCAAGTGTTGGTGAAGGTCAGTGGCATGCGTGGCATGGCTTACGGGATGCAACACAACAGGTTGGATGCACGACAAAGACAAGTGGCTCAAGTTGGCACATGGGCGACTCAAGGTAGTGCATGGTGCGTGGTCAGGCTTGAGCCCGGGGCATGGCTATCCATGGACAGTCACGACTATTGCGAGGTCGGTGGCAACGATGGTTGATTAGCCAGTTGACAAGTGGGACTTGGGCAAGCTGGGCGCAAGGCAACGAGGATTGATCATGAGCTCAAGGGAAAGAGTTGGCTCGCTGGTGGTCTGGGTTAGGCCGCGGCGTGAGTGCAAGCCCGAAGGGTTGTGTCGGTTTGGTGCTGGCATGGCTCGAGTGTGCAAGGGGCATGGCATTGGCGAACGGGTGCCTTGGGGCAAACCGGTGGCAAGGCAGTTGAGGGCTTCGGGCGAACATGTGCTTTGGGAAAGATCGGAATACCACGCCATTGGCGGTTACCAAATGCCATACGCGAAGAGACGCGTCCCTTCAGGCTTGGCAGTTGGCTTGTAACTGCGAGACTCGATCCAGTCTATAAATAGACTGCGGCATACTCCTAGTTTTGTAGCCAGATGTGTGAAGGGAGTGCATGCTGAGTGGTTGCAAGTGCTCTAGGCATTGTGAACGTGTTTTATTAGTCCTATTGTATTAATTGTGAATTAATACAAGGTTGGTCGTTGACTGTAAAGTCGTGCCCCTATATTCTACGTGTGTGTTAAAGTGTTGCGTTCCTATACTTAAATAAATGTCTAAGTGGGGCATTGGGGGTAAGCTGAATGTCTTAAGGAGTTAGGGCAGGTCGTACATGGTGAAAATTCTAAGTCCTGAATTTTACCGTGTAACAATTGGTATCAGAGCTGATGGTTGAAGATCGTGGATTGACTGTCGGTGACAATGAAGCGGAGACTACGGAGGTGCTGGTTCGTGGGTTGATTGAGGAAACTCTTAGGCCGTTGTGGGCGCGACTTAGAGATCTTGAGACCTCAAGGGCAAACCTTGTGAATGAACTGGATGCACGCTTGGCAAAGAACGAAGTTTTAAAGTCAGAATTTGTGATTTTGAAGAGGGCACTTGCAGCGGGACTGGGTCCAAACGTTGAAGTAGACTCTTCAAAGATCAAAGTGCCGGAGTCGAAGACCTTTGGTGGTGAACGTAATGTCGAGGAACTTGAGAACTTTCTATGGGATATGGAAGAATACTTTAAAGCCGCAAAGGTGCCGAATGAAGAGAAGGTGAGGATTGCACCCATGTACTTGTCTAGTGATGCAAAGCTTTGGTGGCGAAGTAAAATAAGGGTTGACGGGCAGACACGAGCTTAAATCATGGGAGGGGGGCTCAAGAAGGAGTTCAAGGTTCAATTCCTTCCCCATAATGTCTCTTGGATGGGCAGGGAGGTCCTGAAGAACTTGAAACACACCACATCGGTGAGGGACTATGTCAAGGCGTTCTCATCGATCATGTTAGACATTGAGAACATGACCTAGGAGGACATGCTATTCAATTTCGTGTCTCGACGGCAGCCATGGGCCCAGACAAAAAAACTACATTAAAAATCATTCTTTTTCACTCTACCTTTTACTACCTCCGTTCCCATTTTAACTTCCAAATGGATTTGGCACAAAGTTTAAGATAATGGATATTGTGTGGTGGAGAATTGTGCAGAGGAAAGAGAAATGTGTTAGAAATATTATGAACCACAAATTCTTTACCAAAAAGGGAAAATGAAAATTTTAATTGGAATAGAAGAAAAGGGAAAGTTGGAAGTTTATTTAGGAAAGAATGGAGAATTGGTTTTAATTATCTTTCTTTCGTAAAGGCAAAATCACCGTATATGAAGTCTCCCTGTCACGACTCCATATATGAAATTTCCTAAGGTTGAATTCAGTTCGCCAAATTGACGCGATCTATCCAAACTGATCGTAAATATTGATATCTCTTCTGTACTATCATTCCGCATTCTCTCAAAAGCGACGCCAAAGTAATCTTTTCTCTTCATGCCTCTTATATTTCACAAAGAAATTAGTCATCGATGCTTAGTTTTTATTCGAAGATTCTCTGGACGTTGTGATTCTCTAGTTTTGTTTGGCATTGAGTTTTTCTTTTGCTTGCAATTTGTTATGCACTTCCAAATCAGTAGACAGGTGATTATCCGAGCTTTAACTTAGAATTGTTCGCTATAGTTGTGCTGGTAAATTTTTATCCTTTACACTGTGTACTTTTGAAATCTTGTGGATTTTCTAATCCAATTGTTGGATACCTGTTTGATTTCATTTGCTTTGAAGATTTATATTGATTATATAAAAAAACTATAAAAGCACTGATTTAAAGGGATTCATGGTTAATCTAAACTTT